AGCTCCCTCAGGCAAACTTACTCTAGTCTCCCTTTCTGAGCAGGTGCCCAGGGGGCTGACATGGGAGCCTATTTAAGGACATAGGAAGAGGGTTCATCTGATCCAGCATTTTCTTCACACTAGGTCAACCAGCTGCCCATGGGAAACCCACAAGTAGGATGTGAATGCAATCATTTTTAGCCATTAGACCAGACCTGGGCGTTGTACGGCCCGCGGGCCACATCCAGCCCGATGGCTGACCCTGTCTGGCCCGCATGAGGTCACTGGCAAATTAAAAGTCAACCTTACTATGTTAAGCACTGGGAGATTACATATCTTGTAAATTTGCGCTGTATAAGTAAAATTGAATTGAATTTATTGCTTTTCATGTAATGTTGATGTTAATGTTTTTGTGAATATTCATTAAATAGTGTTGTTCTGTGCTCCACATTTTCATTGTATCATTGTAATGTTTCATTTACTGTTTTTATAGAGATATATATTGAGCAGAGCTGTAAGTGTCTTGGTCCGGCCCGTAACAACTGTCAGAGTTTCTTATGTGGCCCCATAGGAAAATTAATTGCCCACCCCTGCATTAGACCATGACTTCGGTAGCTTTAATCCAACGAGAATGTAGCATTCGTGGGCCCTGCCATGTTTTCCTACAGATCCCAAAGCAACAAGGGAAAGAGCTGGTGGAGGCTTGGGAATTGGCCTGTGCGTATGGGTTTGTGTACATTTAGAGAGCTGTGTCTACCGGGGTCCCCTCAAGACCAAACTTTCCCTTTAGAGTCCTGAAGGTAGCACCAGAACTGGTTTACTGCAGTTTGTTAAGGATCAGCTAACGCTAATGCTCAGTAGCTGTAATAGGATTTGGGAGCACTATTTTGCTACCATGTCCCAGAAGATTCATTCTGCTAATTGACTTGTGTACAGGGGAATGGCTAAAGAATCATAAAGAGAAAGCACATGGTAAACCCTTAATAGTGCCTATAGGACCATACAAAAGCACAATTGTAAGCACAGACTTCTTAACTGAAGGGGAAATGCTTGGGGAGCTGTAAAAGTCTCTGAGCTTGTTGGTGTAGAAATAAACTTAGCGGAGAGTTTCTGCTGAATGTATTGGGACCACATGAAATAATAAAGACAAGTAAAGAACAGCAAAACATCATGGAGAATACAAGCCAACTTGGAGATTCTTTCTTGGTGAAGGCAAGCTGAGTCTTCATGATCTCGTGGGTGAGACTAGGGGCACATCAATTTTATGGCCAAGGAGGTTGCTAGTCCACATGTTGCAGAAATCTCTGCTCCTGTTGTTTGCGTTGGTCCATTTGCTCTATAATAGCCTGTCACCTGCTGTTATGGAAGCCAGAGGATGTTGTGTTTAAAGATCGACTTGAAAAACAGAATTGCCTACAATTGGTTCTCTGCAGTTCAGAAAGGACCCCAGCAGTTCCTATACAATGGTACTTGAGCGGGCTTTTCCTCTTGTGCAGTGGGACTCCCCCTTCCCCTTGCAGCCCCCACATCTGCTCTGGAGGGAACCCCAATCCCCCTAAGCAGATATGGAGGAAGGTCTACTGGGGAAGAGGGGAAATCCCTTCCACCAGTAATTTCTGTTCTGGTGGCAGGTAGCCAGCATTGGATCTGGTCCAGGGATCTGGTTTGCATGATCAGAGTCCACTGTGGCTTATTTAAGCCATGGTGGTTTGCAGTCCTCCTGGCCACTGTGAATGCTATGGGTTGTTATGTCATCCAAAACTGAGTGGCAGGGCGTTTTTGTCAGTGTAGCAGTGCTCAAAATGTTATGCTGCAGGGATGTTGCATGGTTAACCTTCAAACAACCTCTGCTTCTCAAGATTGGGTAACATGATAAACTGTGGGCTGAATGTAAACAATGGAAACCTGCCCTTAAATAAGCTGTGATGATCCTGTGAACAGGCCCAGGGTGTGATGTCTGGCTGTGCAGAGCACGGCACTTCAGCATTAATGGAGATGGGTTTCCCAGCATGTACACCGGAGTAGAGAACATGGGTGCAGCTGAGCGGGACACCCAGACAAATGCTCAACTGATCTGCAGGAGGAATTCTTTGCTTGCTTCTCGAGTCCGCTGAGGGCAGCAGGGTAGAGACAATCCTGTTATAAGGAGCTCAGTCTGCTGTGGTTGAGTAGCCATCGAGCCCCTTCTGAGATCTGCCACGGCAACAGAAGCCAAAGTCAGCTTCTTGAACATGATACTAAAGCTTAACACCTGCATCTGTATCTGTATCAATCCTGCAAGCAGCCTCTGGGCCAGTGATCTGAAGCCAAGAAAGAAATGCAGCTGCATGCAGCCCCCAAGCTGTGTGGTCACCTGAAAAACTATGGAATGGGAGCACAGGTGCGCTCACAACAGTTTGAGTTCTTCAACACGTGCAAGCTCTCTTAGTGCACCCTCCTTTCCCACCCTTCTGCCAACTTTGGGAGCAGAAAGATGATAGGACTCTCAAATAGCAGGATTGGGAGATGGTTAAATCCTCTGTGACATCTGGAATGGGAAATAGAGTTCCAAGGTGACCCACATTCTGTGTGAACAAGTGCTGGATTTTGTGACATACATATATTTGCAGATCTGTTTGTTTTGCATTATTCTGCTTTGTTGGTCCCCGAGGAAAGGAAAACAAAACACTGCATGCATTGTCCACAGACTGGAAATGTTGCTCATGTATCCCTCTGGATTCTAAGGCTCACATGTTTGCATAGCTGTCTCAGTGGCTTATCAGCTTTTGCATTCTCCTGAGAACTTGCTATTAGGAAATCTTCAAACCTATGGTTTAAATTAAGAAAGTAGGCCAGGGTGCTTCCAAATCAGACTTTAATTGTGCAGTTGCGCTGTCTTTTTTCTGGAATTTTAAAGATGATCCAGACTCCCTTGTCTTTGATTTGCGCGCCCACATGCTATGTTATCTCACTTCTTTCTTTTTCCAAAAAAAATGCATGAAGGAAGGAAAGACACAATAGTTGTATACTGCCTTTTGTTTGGTAACATTAGGAACCCTCCATCTCAAAGCATGCCAGATTCCAGACATTTAGTATCACCAGAATGTCTCTGTCTCAAATATTTCATCGCACTCTTTATCCAAAAGGCTCTTGGACAAAGCTTATGTGCAATAAGTAAAACCAGTTATCTGCTGCTTCCCATTTACCACTTGAAAAGACACAACACAAAGATAAAATGGAATAGTGAGGAGAAAAGAAAATTAAGTGATGTTTTGGTAGGACTCCTTGATAGAATGGTGGAAAATACATTTGACATGACCTTTGGAAATGCTCCAAAGTGCCAGATTATAAAGGATGGTTAATTAAGATGTGGAGTATTGTGTGACTTTTCTCAATACCTGCCTCTTCCCGCAAAGATGTTAATTTGAGAGAGGATGAGAATTTCTACAAATTCTTTTCAAGTTAAATGGCTTTTGATATACAACTTTTGAAGGGGGAGCAAATAGTCCAGAAATTGGTTTTCAAGACATTTTTGGTAGTGGACTCCTCAACTATTCTTACTCTTAGGAAAGAATTGTTATAATGAGCAGTGAATTTTGTTTGAGTTCGTTCTTGTATTTCTCTTTTGAAAATCCAGGAAAAGACTGAGAAGTTTCTGAGGTTTTGAGAATCAGAAACATTGCAAATAAAAATGAAAGCTGAGGTTCTCAGGATGCTAAATTAAGCCTCAGAGTGGATTAAGTTGCCTCATGCTTATCAGTCTTAAGACTTACCTGGACAGTCATTGCATGGCAGCATCTGGCAGTGAGAGTGCTGCTCCTGTCCCTGTGCCGATTCCAAAAAAGAATTTAGAGAATCGAGACGAATGATCTGGACAGGAGAAGCTGGATTCCGCCAGCCACTTTTGATTTTGCACTGGGATATTCAGTGCTGCAGTAACACCACGTGACGCAAACTCCTTTACGCTTCTTTTCCTCAGAATCCTCTTCTTGTTCCATCTCAGAATCACAGAAGCACTAGAGGGCCTGGAGTCCTGCCCTGCGCACCCTGCTACTTCATGCAGCACGGCTGGATGGGAAGGGGTTGGGCCATCAGGGGACCCTTGCCAATAAGGCCATATATATTGCCAGCCAGTTCCCCCCCCCCTTTTTTTTTTTTTGCTAGCCTGCTAAACAGGTAGGAGCCTGTATTTCCACAGCTACTACAGAGAAGGAGTCCCCCTTCTACATTGCCTGCATGGAAATTGACCCTACTACGAGGCTAGTAAAGAAAGGACTTTTAACAACCCCTGTAACTGGCATGGTCGCCGAGCAAACTGGAAGAATAGAGGGACTTGCCCCTTGTATACCAGCCCACTCGCTTGCCTACAGAGAATTCCTGGTTGCCTGCAGTTGACCAGGCTATTTGTTTAATGGGTGCATGTAAAGAGATTCAGGAAAGGGTGTCTGGGTGACCAAACCGGAAATGGGAGTGAGTAATGAGAGAATTGGTTGTATAGACTTTTGAACCCAGGCTCATAGGCTTGCTTGCTGTCACCTGCAACAAGCTATTGCACAGCTTGTGTTCATCTGGCATCGCCTGCTGCACAGAGCGGTTATCCTGCGTTTCCTGTGTCAAGGTAAAATGCCGTCTGTAGCTAAGCCAATGAATATTCTTTTTTGTTCTGTGACCCTTCGGGCAGGGGTGGTTTGAACTGCAGTCTTCTACAAAAATTAAAATGGCTCCAGGAGCCAAGGGGTCCGAGTGCAGAGCTGGCAGCAATTCCTTTTGGGCAGAGATCTCTGCTCCACATGGCCGGCAACTTCCTGTCACGACGTAATCCCCTTAATCCTGCTTTAGCTCTGTTAATTTTCCTCCTTTCCTCTTTTTCTGATCCGATTTCTCTGTGGCGCATGAATCCCGCTGCTCCTCAGCCGAGCTAGCAACTGAGGTGCAGCGGTGGCCTCCCGACCTTCCAGGCTGTCTCCGGAGCGCCTAGTACCATGCGGCAGGGGACCTGGGATGGTGGTGCCTGAATGTGTCCCATTCTCTCTGTCTTACAGGCTGTGCAGTCTCCGCCTGAAAAAGTTGACGGTGCTGAGGGAACTGGACAAGGAGCTCAGCTCCGTGCTCATCGCTGTGAAGATCCAGGTACACTGCTGCTCCTGCGTCCATGAGGGTCTTCGGGGAAGCCAGGGTGGGATGCAGCTAAGTGGTGGTTGCTGTCTGTGACATTTGCTTGCGCCTCCTCCTCCTGCTTGTATTTTTGATTTTTGATTGTGCCACCACAGATCCAACCCTTGGCTCAGGCAGAGGCCCATGGAGGCCACCAGTTGCCCACTTAGTCCAGAGCGTAACGTTAAAGCTGAGGGAAGGGGACTGTGCTTGTTGCCTCCCCGTCTCCTCTCGCCTCCTAGAAAGTGGCAAGTGTTGTCTGACGTGGATGATAACGGTGTTGGGCTTTGCAGGTTGCTGGGCTTGTTGCAGAATGGTGTGTCCGTGCCAGAAGGGTCCGGACAGGTAGACTGTTGTCCTTTATTATGCACAGCCATGGTTCACTTGCAAGACCATATTGCTGTGCTCATTCTCTTGCTCCCTCTAAACATGCAGATGAGAGAATAACTCATTTTGTTCTCCCCAGGTAGAGTCTCTCTGTGTGTTCTGTTGTATTGGATGGGGGGACCTCTTGCCTTAGACACCAAAGTCAGGCAAAGGGGAACAGTTTTTGCACCCTCTAAATGTCTCATTTGTTGCATTCTGGGAATTAGAAACATAGAAACAGAGCGAGTCAGAAGGGGTCTCCCGGGCCATCTAGTCTGACCCCCGGCTCCAGCCGGCTCCGCTTACAACAATTAACCTTAAGTCAAGTTCCATCCCAGAGATTAATTTTCCTAAAGTTGAGGGATGGTGAATGTGTGGCCTTCCAGACTGGGTACAGGCAACAGAATAACCCACACTCAGGGGTTGCGTGTGGGTTGCTGTTGAAATGTGGATTGTTGTTGAAACTTGGGTTATCATGTTCTCTAAATCCAGATACATTAACAAGCCAACAACCTATGAAGAGAATCCATGGTCTGTTGTGAACTATGGGTTATTCATGTTGAATAACCCATAGTTTGTCAGTACAGCTCAACATGGTAACCCATGATAACTAATACTCTATTCTCAAAGCCTGAGCGTGAGTTGTCATGTTGTTTGAACCCAGCATTGCTGGACTGGAACTCCCACTGCTGGCTATGCTGAGGGGAGCTGTGGTCCACCAACAGCTGGAACAACATGTTCCTCACCCTCCTAGAGTTCTCATTCTGTTCCCTCTGGCAACTATATCTTCTAGTCTCCCAGTGGAAGAGCCCAGCTTTCTTTTCCTAGCATCTGATAAAGCAAGCAAAGCATTGCATTAGAATAATACACCTTGCCAGCAGAATTATGCAACTTACGTCTATCTCAACACTTAATCTAGAATTCTACATTAAGAAACCAACACTCTCAGGTCTCCTTGCCAAGGTCCTGCTGCAACTACAGCCTCCTCTCTCCCGGAGAGCACAAATCTTCGTCTCTCAATTAGACCATCTCATAAATAAGACGAACTGCTGCTTTTAATGAAATATTGGACTATTAAAATGGGAGACCTCATTTTTTGAACTTCAGAAAAGCTGTCAGGGCATCCGGATTTTTTTTTTGTGCTCTCTTGGATACCATCCATCTGGGGATTTTAAACGTTCTTTGGGTCTCATAACCTTCTTGAAGTAAAGAAAAATATAATGCATATTACACAGATAAATGAATATAGTCTCTGTCCCACTGGAATGGCAATTTCTTCAGAGCTGGAATGCAGTAGCTGTTTAATAGCCTTTGAACACTTGCACGCAATGAGGACAGGGAGAGAAGCGTGTGCGTTTTAGGATGCAATCTTGTGTAAGCTGAGACCCAAAACAAGTCTTACAATTCCTACCATGCCCCAACTAGACTTTTTTCTGTCTAAACATGCAAAAGGCTGCACCAATTATCATCTTCTGTGTAGAAATCACCTTCGTATAAGGGTACTGGAAGCGAAATACTAAAGCTACTTCATTTTGAAGTGTACATTGGCCTATAAGCATGAGTCTGGAATGCGAGAAGGAGCAAATGCATCTTTGGGAAGGGGTGCATCACAGAGGAAAACTCCAGGGAGCTGCAGTTGGTGACAACTCCCTAGTGAAGGTACTCTTGGTGGCAAACCCGAGTTTGCTATCCAGGGCCCCTTGGCAGTGCTTGAAGGGGAGGCAGGCAGGCAGAGGGAGCCTGGACCATTTCAGCTCCAAAAAGATTGTGGCGGGTGAGGGGGGGGATGACTTGCTTAAAACTGGGAAGTGTCCCAGTGCCAGTCATCTGAGCACTAGGAAGTGGGGTGAGGGAGCCCTTTTGAGGATGCTTGGTGACCACATAATAGCAGTAATACTTAGGTGTGAAGACAAACCACATGGAAGAGCTTTTAGGGAATTGTCTGAGGGTTGTGCAGATATTTTGTCCAATTGGTTAACAAAAAACCCCCAGTAAAGCAAAACAAAAATCATGAACAGTTAGCAACAGAAAAACCATAAACAACCTTTAAAGCTCTAGCAGTTTAAAAGTCAAATTAAAATGTGTGCCTTGACTCTCCTCTTGAGTATAGGAAATATGAGTGCTTTCCAGATGTTGAGAGCAAAACCTGTTCTTGTGTGCCTGCCAAGTGGTCCTCAGTAAGCAAAGGTGTTTTCAAAAGGTCCCTTCCTGCTAATCTTAGTAACTGAGCAGGTTCCTACAGAGATGGCAGTCCCTGAAACACCTAGGCCCGAAGCCTTGTAGGGTGTGATCCTAAGCATGTTTAGATACAAAAAGTCCTACGACTTCCAGCGTCTCTCCAGCCAACCTTGTTGACCAAGGCATGGTGGGAATTGTAGGACTTTTTCTGTCCAGGCATGCATAAGATTGCACCCTTAAACAGTGGAAACTGACGCCTTGAATTGAGCCCAGTAAACAACTGGCAACCAGTGCCAGGCGGTTTTCTTATAGTTTGCCACCTGATAGTTTCCCTATAGCTTGCTACTGGATATTTCTTTAACTGAAGACAGGAGGAATCGTGCTTGCAACCTGCTGCATGTGTGCACTGCCTCTGAGCTACTGCCCCTAACTTTTTGGTGTATTTGTTAATAAATGCTGAATGCCTTCTCCTGACTACGTTTTTGTGTGTCAGAACAAATCCTGTCTTGATTTTGCTTTGCTTTGTGTACTTTCGAAAAGGAACTTGAGCTTTGTTTTGAAAATTCTTTGCCTACCTTCAAGAACATCTTTTCTCTGTCCCTGCTTATTTGATGAGGTAAGAGAAGGATTGTTATACTGAAAGGAGAAAGTGACAGGTCCTGATCTTTGCTTCATGGGAGGCAGATCTGCATCCTTTCTCTCCCTTCTGTAGCCAATGTGCTTTTCTGATCCTCTGGCCTTCCGTCACCACCTTCATAAGCATGGTGGAGTAAGATGGTTGGAAACATTCCTTTGTTTGATATCAAGGCCTCACCCCCTCAGCTTGCTGGCCGTGCCCTTCCTGTGCTCTTGTCAGCTGCCCATAAATCCGCTGATGCTACTGACAGCAGGCCAGGGTGAAGAGCTGGATAGCTTTGCATGGCATATAGGCATTCTGTGTGCTACAGTCATTAGGATTTAAATCTGGGATTAGCAGTTGAAGACAGCGTTTTTTAAAGTTGCTTCAGGGTATACTCTTTGCCTGTGCATTGGGGTGGTCTACACCAGGGGTGAGCTGAAGGTAGAATTGGATCTATGGGTAGATCTCTAGAGGGTGTAGAGTAGATCAGAAAGGATCTCTCAACCTCTAGTGGTTTAACAGTAGCAGCAACAACATGACCCCCCTCCCTTCCCAAATTAGATGTTAAAACAAGTTTAGGTTAACAGCAAGTGGACTTTGGGTTAAAGTTTGGGTTAACAGGGAGTGGATTTTGTGTGGTTGGGCTGTGAGCTCCGTATAGGTCAAGCAGTCAAAGCAAAACTCTGGGGTCATTTTTTTTTAAAAATTCAGTGTATACTTTTTATACCAGACTCTAGTCTGGTGGCTCATGGGGATTCTAGCATAAAACAGAGAGGACCTCACAAGCTTGAAGTTTGCTCCCTAATGCTTTAAGCCAGTGGTTTTCAACCTTTCCACAGCAATAGAGCAACAGAGAATGCCAGCAAAAGAACAAGATGCCAAAAGCTGTCTCTCCTCACCCCCTCCGGCAGCACCAATGCTCCCCCCGTGAATGGGATGCCAACTGAGGAGCACAGTCAGCCCTGCACGGGTCTGTGGCGAGCAGGATGCGGCCCCCGCACGGACTGGCAGGAAATGTCTCGCATAGCGGTGCTGGTCCGTGGACTGCTGGTTGAAAACACTGCTGTAAACAGTACAACTACGAAATTGAAGCCCTGGGAAGTATGTCACAGATAGTGCATACAACCTGAGGATTCCGCCTTTGAGGTGCATATACGACACAGAAGGCTGGTCTGCAGATCAGCGTGTAAAAACGTGTGAACGCTGCTGGATCAGCCTCGAGACCAGCACTCTCTTCTGGCAGTGGCTGTCCCAAGGCCCCTGGGAAGCCTGCATGCTCTGCCTGACTTGTTGGGGGGCAACTTGTCCTTTGGCGTTTGTTACAGGCAGGCTTCTGTGTAGTAGTTGTAGCTTGTTGTTGTTATTTAAAACGTTTATATCCTGTCTTATATCCAGTCAGGGCCTCTAGAGGGCTTACATAAAAAAATTGAACAACAGTAGCAAAGCAACAGCATCAGCACTTGAGTAAATCATTACTTATAATGTATAAAAGTATACAGTAAAATCCTTCTAACCATTAAAATATTGGGCAAGTAAAAGGATTGGGCCTGGTGCCAAAATGAATAACATGTTCACGCCAGGCATACCTCTCTGGGGAGCAGATTCCATTGCTGGGGTGCCACCACTGAGGAGGCCCTTCTCCAAATAGCCACCCTTCTAGCCTCTTTCAGAGAGGCCTCCCAAGAGATGTTAAGGTTCAGGCAGGTGTGTATGGAAGGAGCTGTTCCTTTAGATACCCGGGCCCTAAACCATTTAGGGCTTTATGTGTCAGCATTAACACCTTAAATAGTTGTAGCCACTTCCTCCTCCAGAA